GTTTTAATGTTGAAAAAACACTCTAATAGATCATCTCGACATTGAGATGTATGAATATGAAAAAAAAAAAATTGAGTTCCGAAAATAGTGCATCTTGTAACACAATATCTAGACCTTCCAATTTCAAGATTTTCATATATTTATAGATCTACTTAATTTTAACTATTTTTGGAATCTAAAATTTTCTAATTAGGTATGAAAATAGATTTTAAGATAATACTAAGAATTTTTTATAACGAAATTACATGTTATGATAAAATTTTAAGGTGCACCTTAATTGGATTGTTTAATGTTGCAACCTTATAGAAATCGCACCCATATATATATAGGAAAAAATTGACATAAGGTTGCAACCTTAAAATTTAGAATTACAGATGCACCTCAAAACTCCATCAAAAAATGTTGTTTTAATGTTGAAAAACCCTCTAATTGATCATCTCGACAATGACATGTATGTATATGAAAAAAGGAATATTTTGAGTTCCAAAAATAGTGCATCTTGCTGCACATTATCTAGTTTGTCCACTTTTAAGATTTCATATGTTGATAGATCTACTTGATTTTAACCATTTTTTGAGTTTAAAATTTTATAAATAGATACGAAAATAGAGTTTTGGATAATCCTAAGATTTTTTTACACAAAAATTGCATGTTATGATAAAATTTGGCGTTGCGCATTAATTGGATTGTTTAAGGTTGCAACTTTATAGAAACCACGCCCATATATATATGGAAAAATATCATATACGTCCATGTGCATACTACTACAGTATTGAATCTGGGCCGATTTAAATGGCACAACCTCATTTTGTGTTTGAATTTTAATTTTTTTCTATAAATATAAATCACTTGAAATTTTAAACGTATGTTCTTCAAAAAATATGTGAATCTAATAAAAATATCAAAAAAATATTTTACATTAAATAAATTGGCCTAAATACCCTCGAAAAGTTTTGAAGGTATTTTGGTTGTTTTTGTGATATTTTTATTAGGTGCGCATTATTGATAAGAACACACGGCTAAAATTTCAAGTGATTTGGATTTGTAGAAAAAAATTAAAATTCAAACACGAAATGAGGTTGTGCCTAAAGTTTTTCAGAGCCCAATGCACTACATCTATCTGAGAATAGTAACTTGTGGAGAGACCTAACTGAGTCTCTCTCGCTCTCTCTCTCTTTGTCAAGTCCTCAACAACAAATTTTTTCATTCATTACCTCGGGAAGAGTTAAAAAGTTTTTAAGCAATATTTGAATTTGGCATTTGGAACTATAAAACTTATCGACTGCTGAAGAAATACCGTCCCTAAGTGAATAAAAGATTTTAACATTATATCTCACAACATAAGTTGATATCGTTTTTTTGGACAAAGGTTCCAAAGTTTTATTAAAGCGATCATGCAAAAGAAATTACATCAGCAGAGAGCAAAATAGAGGGAAGAGAAGCCCCGCCTTTGGCCAAAGTATAGCAAGGACATTTGCCTCACGATACACATGGGAGAAAGACACTGAAAGAGAGGCAGAAAGATCTAAAACTTCCAGCCAGATGGACCTGAGTTTCCAAGGGATAGAGCGTTCCTTCTTGCACCAACCAATCACATTTAAGGAATCACCCTCAAATATGTAACTTCGACCAAGGTTATGGGATAGAAAGAATTTTAAACCTTGTAATAACGAAGCAAGTTTGGCATGGTTAGCAGTGGCAATGCCTAGGGGACCAGTGTAGGAAACGATGACAACACCCGAGCTATTGCTTAAAACCCCCCCAATGCCAGCTAAACCAGGATTGGCCATAGAACTTCCATCAAAGCTCAATTTGAAGCACCCCTCCTCTGGTGGTGTCCAAAAAATCCGAGGTCTCATTTTAACTTTACACAAAAGGAAGAGGTTAGGTAAATTAAGCATAACATCTGAGTAAGAGATACCACATCCCAGCTTGGTGACCGAAAACCAATTCCATAATGAAAGCTTGGTATTGTCAATCAAGCGAGCATCCGGTAGACTCACCCCATCAAAAGTATGCATATTTCTCTCTTTCCATATTTCCCACATCACTACCCCTCTAGCAATCATCCAAACCATACTTCGTCCCACCGGTAAATGAGGAAAGGATAGTTGGGAAACAATCTCCATAACCGACGAGGGAATGGGGGCATGGATTCCAAGAAGACCGAAAAACCAATACCAAATTTTTTAGGCAACCTGACAGTGTACGAACCTGTCTCCTCATGCATTTTGCACATGAGGCAAACATTTGGAAGTACTTTACCTTGCTTTATCGAGTTATCCACAGTCAAAGTCTTGTTCTAGATAGCAGGAAATATAAACACCTGAAGCTTATGGGGTATCGGCCATTTCCAAACCGTGGCGGCAAGAGGAAGAGGCCATCGCCATCTGTCATGGAATAGGAGTCTATAGCAGAATTTAACCGAAAAAAGACCATTACATTCCAATTCCCAGATAAGATCATCCGAGTGTTCAGGGGAAATGTAAACATGCTCCAAGAGCCCCAACAGATGTACCATTGATTATAAGCCTCGCCACTAAGGCGATTGTACGGGAATGAAATATGCCAAGCCCCACCTGGGCATTGGAATCAAACATATCAGCAACCATGGCATTGGGGTGAAGCACCTTCGCAAAAAGAATGGGGTAGCACAGCTTAAGTGGGACATCCCCTAACCACTTATGATGCCAAAAGGAAGTGGAAGCACCATTACCAATATTCCATTGAAAATGACTAGCAACTATAGGTCTGCATCTGTAAACAGGCTTCCATAAAAAGGAGACTTCACCAAGTCGTCCACCACCATTTACAGAGCAGAGCCTTATTCATATATTTAAGTTTGCGAATGCCTAAACCACCTTCCCTCCTCGCGGTGCAGACCTGATCTGAGCTAAGCAAATGGAATTTCGGTCAAGTCCAGAAGATCCCCACAAGAAATTGTACGTCTTCATCTCAATTTTCTTAATAATCGAGGAGGGCATGTGAAATAGTGACATCAGGTAGATCGGGATATTTGCTAGGCAAGCTTGAAGAAGAGTCACCTTGCCACCCAAGGAGAGATATTTTAGCTTCCAAAGATCGAGTTTGACTTGAATTCTTTCTAGCACCTTATACCAAACCGAGACGGGGTGTCGAGAGAGAGAAATAGGAATACCCAAATAAGAAAAAGGAAAAGAGCCAACAGAACAACCAAGTCAATCGGACAGAAGAAGAATCAAATATGGGTTACAATTGATTCCAAAAAGACGGGTCTGTTGAAATTAACCTTGATACTCAAAGCCGCCTCACAACAAGCCAAAAAGCAGGCAATTTTAGAAACTTGGACCTCGGTTGTGTCACACCCCAAGAATTTACAATACTAATATTCCTGAGATGTGACAGTCAAAACATATATACATCTCTTGCTAGGGCAAATTTACAGTGGCGAATTCTTACAAGGCAACAATAAATAAACGATATTATTGTTAATATACTTGAGGGTTCAATTCTACTTGGGTGGACCTTAGGTCCACCACTAAAAGTTTTATAAGAACACCTCTTTAAGCGACACCTTGCATATGAGGTGTATCGTTTTTATTAGCATGTCTCTCTCTTTCTCTCTCTTGCGTTTTTGGGTCAAGGGGCTTCTCTTTTTCTCTCATTAACAGCTCATCAACCCTCCCTCAAGAAGCATCCTCTGCTTCAACAACAAAGGAGATTCTTTCGCTTATCTCCTCTACCCAACCACAACTCTATGTACTAGACCTTCTCCATTTATAACCTCTCTCTCTAACCATGATCTATGAACCATACACACGAGACTACGATAACACATATGATAAGCCCACATCCAAAACGGATGCTCCCTCAATTTCGGAATTAAAGTAACTGACATCATCTTTCTGAAAAATAGTCTGTTTTTAATAAATAGTGATATTTCCATTCATGATCTTTATTTTATAAGTTTTGTGTGTAAGTGACTTCATTATCTTGAAAAATAATCCATTCTTTTTAAAAATAAAATGAAATAATTATTTC